AGATTCATCATGTACTTGGAAACTCCAAGAAGAACACAGTGCATCCAATCTACAGGGAATACTTTAGTCAAATCCACATACTTCAGGCTTAACATTGGTGATGCACCCTTTATTTCTTGAACACTGAAATTCCGAATAAAACAGAATAAGCAATGCAATCCCATCTTGATTATTAGTGTCTGAATGATTGAATCGCAGACTTTAATTAATTTGTAATTAAACTTAAAGCCTGTAATTAAATGGATATTCTTTCATTGTACATAGCTTCATGTAGATTTATTAAATAATAATATGTATTTAACAATCAATTAATTTACTTTTTTTAGCATTTTTTCTGAGATACCCTAATTTATACCTACATGAAATGTTAAAAGTGTCAAAGTTCAAATCATTTACAATAACTTGCATTAAAATAAATGATGATTTCATATTATCTTTGTAAATTTACAATATTGAGCTGAATATATAAAGTCAGATTTCTTGTTGTTATTTTTACAAGTTTTTTCCAGCATGCTTAGAGAATGTTTAACACATTTCCAGTTTCAAAAAAAATCTAAGTTCCACTTCCCATGCTACAAGAAAGTAAAGTCCATGGTTTTCCAGTCTTTTACCACAAATGTCCAGCCAATTTGCAGTCTTTTCCAGCCATGCTGAAAATGGATGGACAAAAAAAGTCCACATAGCATGGTAAAAATACTGCATTCTCCATGAATTTCCATGCAATTTCATGCTTTTCCATAGTTTTCCAGGGTTTACCAGCCTCTCTTCCAGGCTTACCCTGGAAAATCTACACCCGGGTAATCATTTAAAATACCTAAAAGTCAGGTAAGGTTTCATAAATTTTTAGCTCACCTGTCACAAAGTGACATGGTGAGCTTTTGTGATCGCTTTTTGTCCAGCGTCCGGCGTCCGGCCGTCTGTAAACTTTTACTTAAAATGACATCTCCTCATAAACCAGTAAGCCAATTTCATCCAAACTTCACAGGAATGTAACTTTGGTAGTCAACTTTAAAAATTATTCAAAGAATTTAATTCCAAGCAGAACTCTGGTTGCCATGGCAACCGAAAGAAAAAACTTAAAATATCTTCTTTTCGAAAACCGCAAGAGCTAGAGCTAAAATATGTGGCAGGAAACATCACCTAGTCAGTGTCTACCAAGTTTGTTCAAATAAAAGCCCCGGGGTCAAAATTGGCCCCGCCCCAGAGGGTCATTGATTTTCCCTATATGCATATAGTAAAAACTTAAAAAATCTTCTTTTAAAGAACTTACAGAGCTAGAGCTAAGATATTTAGCATGAAACATGTTCTAATGGGTGTCTACCAAGTATGTTCAAATAAAAGCCCGGGGGTCAAAATTGGCCCCGCCCTGGGGTCATTGATTTTCCTTATATGTGTATAGCAAAAAACTTAAAAATCTTCTCTGAAAAAACCCAAATAGCTAGAGTTTAGATGTTAAGCATGAAACATCTTCTAGTAAGTGTCTACAAAGTTTCTTCAAATAAAAGTCCTGGGGTCAAAACTGGCCCCGCCCCAGGGGTGTCATTTATTAACTATATGTGTATAATAAAAACTTAAAAAATCTTCTTTTAAGAAACCCAATGAGCTAGAGCTTGGATATTTGGCATAAAACATCTTCTAGTGAGAGTCTACCAAGTTTGTTCAAATAAAAGCCCCGGGGTCAAAATTGGCCCTGCCCCAGGGGGTCATTGATTTTCCCTATATGCATATAGTAAAAATTTAAAAAATCTTCTTTTAAAGAACCCAAAGAGTTACTGTTAGAGCTAAGATATTTAGCATGAAACATCTTCTATTGGGTGTCTACCAAGTATGTTCAAATAAAAGCCCTGGGGTCAAAATTGGCCCCGCCCCGGGGGGTCATTGATTGTCCTTATATGTATATAGTAAAAACTTAAAAAATCTTTTTTAGAAAACCGCAAGAGCTAGAGCTGAAATATTTGGCAGGAAACATCACCTAGTCAGTGTCTACCAAGTTTATTTAAATAAATGCCCTTGGGCCAAAATTGGCTCCGCCCCGGGGGTCATTGATTTTCCATATTTGTATGTAGTAAAAACTTAAAAATCTTCTTTTAAAACCCCCAAATAGCTAGAGCTTAAATATTAAGCATGAAACATCTTCTAGTAGGTGTCTACCAAGTTTGTTCAAATAAATGCCCTGGGGTCAAATTTGGCCCTGCCATGGTGGGTCATTAATTTACCATATTTGTATAAAGTAAAAACTTAAAATAGCTTCTTTTAGAAAACCACAAGAGCTAGAGCTAAACATTTGGCATGAAACATCAACTAGTCAGTGTCTACCAAGTTGTTTAAATAAATGCCTTGGGGTCAAAATTAGACCCGCCCCGGGGGGTTATTTATTTTCGATATTTGTATATAGTAAAAACTTAAAATATCTTCTTTTAGAAAATCACAAGAGCTAGAGCTAAAATATTTGGCAGGAAACATCAACTAGTCAGTGTCTACCAAGTTTGCTCAAATAAATGCCCTGGGGTCAAAATTGTCCCCGCCCCGGACGGTCATTGATTTTCCTTATTTGTATTTTGTAAAAACTTTAAAAAAATTTCTTTTAAAAACCCCAAATAGCTAGAGCTTAAATATTAAGCATGAAACATCTTCTAGTGGGTGTCTACCAAGATTGTTCAAATAAAAGTCCCTGGTTTAAAATTGGCATTGGCCCAGAGGCCTACATACAGGTGAGCGATTTCAGGGCCATCATGGCCCTCTTGTTTAGTTTATTTCATAATTCCACATCTTATTTTTGAGAAGCATTTCTATCAGCCTGTGCAAACGATTTGGTGAATCATTAAAATGGACCCCCATCCAAGCTTTAGTGCAGGATGGAGGGCATTATTTGAGTAAAGCCGGAGGCTAAGCATGTACAAATAGCATTTCATCTTGGTCGTATGAAAAACATCGCAAATTTAAAGGATTTAAATTACCCGCCAATAATCACGCATGCGCAATAAGACCACGTGATCAATACCGGAAATAGCGTGAGAAATCACAATTTAAAGACAATATATTTTGTTGTTACAAATAACAGAGGAGGGTATAAATACACTATTAATATAATTAATCAAGGGCAGGGTTTGTACATGCTTAGCCTCCGGCTTTACTCAAATAAATGCACTAAAGCTTGGATGGGGGTCCATTATTTTTCATAAAGCCTTTGGCTTTCACATGTACAAATAGCATCTTTAAAGACAACAAAATATATAACATACATAATACAAAACAAATTTTATTTGTTTGTTTGTCTCGAATTTTACGTCACATTGACACAGTATAGGTCATATCGCGACGTTCCAGCTTACCATACAAATAATTTTATTTTAACCCTCAAATACCGCATTACTATAAGGAACATTTTTGTCAATATTTCTACAATAAAACTTCTTAAAATTCTTGTCCGATTTCCAATTAGCATGAGAAATAATTGTCTTCAAGGAACAACCTTTGTTATAAGCTGCCGAAGCAGAAGCACCTCTATAAGAGTGCGCTTTGTAAATATTTGAATCTATACCAGATAAATCAAGCACTGTTCGAAGCCACCTGGCTAAAGTACAAGTAGTAACCTCTTTATACGAAATGAAAGAAATAAAAACCTTTCTACTTAATCTTAAAGAAGACGTTCTTTTTATATAATAAAGTAAAGTATGCATAGCACAAATCTTCTCATTTCTAAAATGTTCCACTTTTAACGAATAACACTGTGCTGCCTTTGAAGTCTTTAAAATATCAGAAAAAGTAAAAACAACTGCCTGTTGTTCCACTATCATATTATTTAAGTTCAAAGCACACAAAGTCTGTGCTCTGGGTGCTGTAGCCAACGCAACCAAAGCCAATGTCTTAAAAGTCAACAATTTTAACGACAAACTTGATAAAGGCATTAGACTTCCTAAATATTCAAGAACAACGGAAACATCCCATGTTAAGAAATACAGTCGACTCTCGTTATCTCGAAGTCATTGGGACCCTCCAAAAAATATCGAGATAACGAAATGTCGAGATAAACATATTAGGGTTAGAATAAAGCGAAACTAATTTTTACAAAAGACATGTGCATACCTTATGTCAAATAAACTATAATATCCCTATGTCTTGTTTTCATAGCACAAGTCAATATTTGACAAAGTAACATTAGCGGATGTTTACCAGCGGAAAAACGGGTGTCTGTGATAAAAACACATAATGAAGTTTACTCAGTAATACACCAATATAGTGAATCGGATATGGTTGATTCGGATATCCTCCCGGGTTATTTATCGGGTCTTTCTCGAGATTATTCGACCGCTGATTGATTTGGTGGTGATGTTGTGAAACAATATTGCAACGATAGCGTTTCTATACTTTTACTTTTTCATTTACATTTAAAGTCATAATGAATTGATACAGTGTTCGAATATTTAAAATGAATGTAAAATTCACTCATTTTGGACATAAGTCCAATCCAATTTACGCTATATAGATTAACTTTTATAAAAACAGCTAAACTTGTTACAAACATAATCGGCATTATGACACGCGCTGTTAATTGAGCAATTATCGTCTAGATTGTGTTTTTCACACGTCTGACGGGAACAGACGAAAGAAAACAATTAGTCGAGATATACAAAGGATAATAGTGTGAAAATAACTGTTGGGGCTGAAATTTTACATCGAGATACTGAAAATATCGAAATAGAAATATCGAGATAAACAAATATTTCCAATATAGATAAATAGGGAAGAAAATCGGGACTTTCAAAATTTCATCGAGATAACGAAATATCGAGAAAAGCGATGTCGAGATAACGATAGTTGACTGTATCTGGGTTTTGTTGGTTTGTGAATGAAAACACTTTTCATAAATCTATTTATCATAGAAAGTTTTTTACACCATTTATTTCCCAAAATTAATAAAGTCTGAATTAACATAGCCTTGTGAATATTTATTGTAGAGTAAGATTTACTGGATCTATAAAGAAAATATAAAAAGCAAATTACAACCGTTTCAGAGGCACAAAGTGGATTGGAACCTCTGAGATAATTCCAAATACACCACTTACTCCAAGCACTTGTGTACTGTTTACGTGTACCTTTAGACCATGAGTTGGATATGAAACCTGCAATTTCTTCCGGAAGTCCTGTATCTTTGAACGCTTTCCTGACAACACAACACCAACCATCTTCATTCTTTTTGACAAAGGATGTTTCTGTCCGTCGTGCGGAAGCACTAATAGGTCTGTATGCCTTGGTAATCTAATAGGAAAATCAGATAAAATATCTAATAATAAGGGAAACCAGCTTTGAGTAAACCAGTAAGGGATAACTACTAAGGCCTTATCAACTTCATCTGTAATGATCTTATTAATTACCTTCCCAATAAGGTTAAATGGTGGAAAAATATATGGAGTGAAATTACTCCAAGAAATAGCAAATGCATTAACAGCTAAAGCACCTGGTTCAGGAAACCAAGATACAAATCTTGGTAAACGTTTATTTAACCTTGAGGCAAAAAGGTCGACATCAGGAATAAAAGTATGTTTACATAACCTCTGAAAAATATTATCTTTAAGCATCCACTCAGTGGAGTCCGAAAAATTTCTGGAATAAAAATCTGCTGAATTTAATCTTCCAGGAACATGAACAGCAGAAATATAAACATTTCTATCTAAACACCATTTCCAAATTAATTTTGACAAATTATCCAAATCTCTGGACTCCATACCACCAAAATTATTAATATAGGCTATAGCAGTCGTATTATCTGACTGAACCTGTATATGTAAATCCTTACATTCAGCAAACATAGCCTTTAAAGAATAGAAAATAGCAAGGAGCTCCAAATAATTTATACTATTATTTAATTCTCTTAAACTCCACCTTCCATTACAATGTATATTATTATCTATGTCTATACCCCCATAGCCTTCAAACGATGCATCAGTTCTACAATGTCTAGATACAGTAACAGGCCTTATTCTCTTACCATTTTTTAACTTAACATTATTGAACCACCAAATAACTTCTTGTCTGCCTAAAAATAGATAGAACAGTCTTGTTATCAAAATTCATATGCGGACCCTAGTCCGCAAATTTTATCTCTTTCTAACTCCCTATAGTGCAAAGGAGCTTCCAAAATAGCATTGAAGCTACTTACGATCAAACCAATAAAAGAAGCTAGTTTCTCTAACAACAACTAATTCACATTTCTAGTATACTACCAGCTTTTTTAATAATTTTTTCAACTTTTTCATCAGTAAGGAAAAAACTTTAAAACAGACCGTGTCAATAAACATGTCCAAAGAAAACTATCCTCTGACAGGGCACCAATACTGATTTTTTTCCTATTAATAGTAAAACCAAGGCTTTGCAAAGTTCTAAAATCCTACAACTGTTACCTTCACAAACAATCTTTGATTGATCCATATTTTATAGAATCATCTATATAATATAAGATGACCTAATATTTTGTTGCCTAAACCAAGCAAAAACTGGTTTTCATAATCTTTGTAAATAAATACGGTGCTATCTTTAAACCAAAAGGTAGACAAACAAAAGAATACAAGGTAGAGTTTCAGGAAAACTTAAGATATTTCCAATAAGATGGATGAAATAGGAATAGAAAAGTATGCATCAGACAAATCTATTTTGTCATGTAATCATTTTGTTTCAACAAAATCTAAAAACAATATTTGAATGTTTCTTGTTTAAAGTGGTTGTAACTGAACAAATTCATTCAAAAATTTTAAGTTAATAACTGGCCTAAATTTATTATTAGGCTTTGGAACAATAAAAATTGTTTGAGATAAATTGATCCTCCTCCATATTAGACTCTATTATAGCACCTTTATTTAGAAGTTCCTGAACTTCGCAATCAACAATTTCTTTTTGACCAAAAGCAAATGGAATTTCTCCTGGAACTCTGCTCTGAAAAGGTTTACAAACAAAATCAATCTTATAACCTGTAATGGCACCCAAGATCCAAGGGATCCTTCGTAAATTTTAACCAATTGTCTAAACAAAATCTTGTCTTACCAACACCACCTACCTTCTCAACTAAATTCTCTCGTTTGGGTCACGCACAGCATCAGAGGTTACAGTGGCAGTGGGACGTCTACTAGGAGCTCTCGATCTTACAGCGTTGCTGCCTCTAAAAGAATTACCTCTCATAGGATAAGGGTATGGACGAAATCCTTGTGACTGCTGATAAGAACTAGCATAAACATTGTTTCCAGCATTTGCATAACCACGACTTCCTCTAAATCTACCTCTAGATCTCATCACACCTCTAAAATTTGTAGTTTGGAAATTGTCTTTCCCCAGAAAGGAAATATTCTCACAAGATTTCACCTCTTTTGAAATTTCATCTCCGAAGAGCTTTGTTGTAATTGGCACTGACATATTACACAAAGGACTGTATTTCTTTTTAAGATAAGGTCTTATATAATACCTCCTGCGCAAACTTATATTATACTGCACCTGGCCTAAGCCTGTAATCAAGTCTGTAATCAAAGTTTTCATCTCCTCATTTAAAGACTTATTCTTCTTTAGCATCTCAATTAACTTGATGACTGGAACAAAACTTGTACTCAATAAGTTCTGAATATCAACTAAAGACTTATCCTGCATGTGTCCTTTTTTATCTAAAAATCTCCACACTTCTTGATTAACAAGAGGAGGTGTAGCCAAATCACAATTTGAAGGAACAGAATATCTATTGAAAAGAGAATCGGTGTCACACTGTACTGTGCAAGCAGTATTTATCAATTTTGACAATGAGTCAGAAATGGCATCACCCCTCTCAGGGGCCTTCTCTTTTGGTAAATCCCAAGAAAAACCAGCATCGTCATCAACAACAGTGCTTGAATCAAAAGCAGTATGAAAATCCTTATTCAAGTCCCTAGGGCCCTGATTATGAAAAGTTGAAAAATCATCTTCTTAATCTGAAATGTCACATGCATCAACCTGAACTCTAATATTATCTATAGGATGGGCACTGTAAAAATCAGAATCTTCCACATTCTCATCATATAATAAATTGTTATTCTCATCAACTGTAGAGGAATTACCAATATTTCTTTCTTGTGGAGTAATACCTAGAGCAGTCCTAAGACTCTCTATATCATGCTCCGAGAGTTTAGATAAATCTAAAATATTACCTGGGTCCGAAGTACCCACAGGAGGGTCCGAGGAACGCCCCCTTTTTCCATCCGAAGATGTTTTCTTAATTTTTTTCAGAATTGTTATTTTTCTTACCTTTTTTAGCTTTAACAACAACTGATTTAACCTTAGTCTTTTTCTTGCCAGCAGAAGACGTCGAGGCAAGAGGTTGTTTACCCCTGTCATTTTCAGGATTTTGAACCGTATCAGAATCTGAAAAACCTTCAAATTCAGAAGAACTCCCCGAAGCAAGTATATCTAGGGTATCGTCTTTCGACATAACAAAATACGTAACAAAATACGTACCTCAAAAGACCCAGAAGAATCAAAATAAATTCGAACAGTCGAAAAGAGAAAACACAATGTATTCACCACGCCGCAAAATGAAAAAGTGATTTCTCACGCTATTTCCGGTATTGATCACGTGGTCTTATTGCGCATGCGTGATTATTGGCGGGTAATTTAAATCCTTTAAATTTGCGATGTTTTTCATACGACCAAGATGAAATGCTATTTGTACATGTGAAAGCCAAAGGCTTTATGAAAAATAATGTCCTTTAGTAAATATGCAGTAAAAATTTAAATTCCATAAAGCCATGGCAACCGAAATATTTTTTACAAAAATCTTCTTGTAAAAATCCAAAAGAGGTAGAGCTTAGATATTTGACATGAAACATCTTCTACTTGATGTCTACCAAGTTTGTTCAAATAAAAGCCCTGGGGTCAAAATTGGCCCCACCCCAAGGGGTCATTGATTTCTCTCATGTATATAGTAAAAAAAACCTAAAAAATCTCTTGCGAAAATCCAAAAGAGGTAGAGCTTAGACATTTGGTATGAAACATGTTCTAGAGGATGTTTACCAAGTTTGTTCAAATAAAAACCCTAGGGTCTCACTGATATGGCATGAATTATTCATTTTCACATTTGCATTTCCATATCCTGGTAGTGTGCAAGCGTAACCGTTCTTGATGCAGCTTTTTTTTTTTCATGTATGCATTCCTAATACTAGGATATAAGCAAGCATGACTATGCTAGATGTAGCATTCCTTATTCACTTTTATTGTTTTCTTTTCCGAAGCCTGTTGGTAAACACGCATAACCATTTGGAACTGGCTATTTATTGTCACATTTGCATTCCCATATCCTGGCAATTAGCAAGCATAGCCATGCTGATATGGCATGACTTGTTCCTTTTCACATTTGCTGAAAGGGGGCGTCCATGGCCGAGTGGTTAAGGTCGTTGACTTCAAACCACTTGCCCCTCACCACTGTGGGTTCGAATTTGCTGAATCAAATCCTGGTAGTATACACACATAACCCTTAATGATGTGGTTTGACTTATTCATTTTGGCATTTCCATATTCTGGTAGTATGCAACCATAACTCTTCTTGACATATTTGTTTTCATGTTTGCATTCCCATTACCAGTCAACAAGCGAGCATGACTATGCTAGATGTAGCATTTCTTACTCACTTTTATGTTTTCTTTCCCTGGTAGCATGCAAACATAGCTTTTTCTTGATGTAGCATCGTTCTTACTTGTTTTGCATTCCCATTACCTGGAAATACTGAGCAAGCATAATTAGCTAATTTATTTTCATGTTTGCATTCCCATAACCTGGTAGTATGCAAGCATAATTCTTCTTGATTAAGCATTTCTTATTGGTTTTCATGCTTGCATTCTAGTATGCAAGTAATACACTTCTTGTTAAAAGTAGCACTTTTTATTCGCTTTACCATTGGCATTGCTATACCCAGGAAGAAAGCAAACATACTCCTTAATAATCCCAAAATTTTAATTCCTCATTTTGAGTTTCAGGTGCTGCAGAGTTTATATACTAATGCCAACACCATCAGCATGTAATTCTTCCATGCGTGTATCAAGGGCTGTTCTAAATCCTGAAAATTGAGGGTTTTCTGTCTTTAATATATTATACTAGTAGCGTTGTAATCCAGAATCTATTTGCATTAAAGTATTTTTGGGGTAAACATTCCTCTCATTAAATCTCCAGATTTCAATCCAAAAATCAAAAAGTTTGTCTTTCAATTGTCTGTCCTCTTGAAATGGATAGCCTGGCTCTGTTTTTGTTGTTGCAACCAAATTCCGAAATTTGGTCCATTATCACGCCATACACCCAGAGACCAGTCATTCTACTGACAGGTTTCTTTGGGCACGGTATTGTAATTTCTCATCCGTATGCCATCAGATGTGAGATGAATCAGTGACAAGTTCCTGTTATATAAAAAAAAGAATAATATAGTAAGAACATACACTTTATCAGAATAATGTTGAAATTTTAACAAAAGTGAAATTCAAATTAGACAAGAACATTCTAAACAGTATACCGTGGGCTTGGTCTGTACATTCATCTTTCCATCTGGAAGTGTCTAACAACTGTTTGGTATTAAAATATTATACAACATCTGTGTGGCTGAAGTTTCTTTGAAATCCTCTGCCAGGATTTTATGTAAAGAAGGGCTTAAATATAGAAATCACATGTTTCAGTCGAACATTTTCCATGAAATGAACATCAGAATCGTAATTGGTTGGGACACATGTAATAGACACTATAATAAACATGCACCTAGACGTAACAGATACATGAAAGGTGATCTGTTAACTTCACCAACTTTTATTGAAAACAACTTTCTACTGGCTGGAGGAGTTCCATTGGGGTCAAATGATGTTAAAGTACACTGAGAAAGTTTGTTATGCCACCGCAGCATCTGCGATGCTGTGGCATATAGCGATTTACCTGTGTGTTTGTTTGTGTGTGTGTGTGTGTTATATAGATTATATAGTGAACTTAAAAAATCTTCTTGTGAAAAACCACTAGTCCAATTTCAACCAAACTTGGCAGGATTGATCCTTGGGTGAAGGGCTTCCAAAGTTGTTTAAAGAATTTCATTCCATGCTGAAATCTGGTTGCCATGGCAACCAAAAGGAATTATAAGAATAAATTTAAAAAATCTTCTTGGAAAGACCCAAAAGGCCTAGAGCTTAGATATTTTGCATAAGGCATTGTCTGGTAGACCTCTACCAAGATTGTTCAAATTATAGCCCACGGGTCAAAATCGGCCCGCCCCGGGGGTCATTGATTTTCACTATATGTACATATAGTAAAAACTTAAAATACCTTCTTGTAAAGACCCAAAAGGCCTAGAGCTTAGATATTTTGCATAAGGCATTGTCTGGTAGACTTCTACCCAGATTGTTCAAATTATAGCCCTGGGGTCAAAATCGGTCCCGCTCCGGGGGTCATTGGTTTCCTTATATGTATATAGTAAAACTTATAGTAAAAGCTTTAAAAAATTTCTTTTAGCAATTGACAGATATTTTGCATGAAACATTGTGAAGTGAACTTCTAGCAAGATTGTTCAAATTATAGCCCTGGGGTCAAAATTGCCCCCTCCCCGGGGGTCATTGATTTTCAATATATACATATAGTAAAAAATCAAAAAATCTTATTGTCTGAAGGTACAAGGCTTAGAGCTTTAATATTTGTTTAATGATATCATCCATAGGTACGCTACTAAAGTTGTTCAAATTTTGCCTCTAGTGTCAAAATTAGGCCCGCCCCGGGTGCCATAGGTTTTCCTTATATGTATATAGTAAAAACTTGTCAAATCATCTTCTCTAAATTTACAAAGGCTAGAGTAAAGATATTTTGCATGAAACATTATGTAGTGAACCTCTAGCAAGATTGTACAAATTATAGCCCTTAGACCCCTGCAAAATGAATGCTTACTATTCATGAACTATTCATGATTAGTTCATACAAATTCATGATTTTTTTTTTTAACTGTTCAGGAGATGTACATGAAGTAAAAATGGCACAAATTCTTGATAAGGTCATAAATTTGTAGTTCACGAAAAGTACTTGGTTCTTAAAAAGTTCATGACATATGAATCAATGAATTTTCCTTGAACAGTTCATGATGAAATATCTGTACAAAGCTCATGAACTATTCAGTTACTACCTGGACATGAACAGTTCATTACATTTTCTCTAAAATGTTACTTTTCAAGGACTCAATTTAGCACAAATTCATTGTCATTTTCACTACATGAACAGCAATAGAACATTTCAAGGACCATTACTCATGAACAGTCCATGATAAACAGTTTTTGAAAATTCAAATTTTATTAAAAATCTGATGGCAAAGATTTTTTTGTAATATTTGATTGTAATTTCCATATTTATTTGCTTTTCAAAAGAGCAAAAAAGATCATAAAGATGTAGGACAAGAAAATTGACAGACAAATACCAGTCACAAAAACTCATATAAGCAGAAACTGTTTATGTGAGTAGAAAAATATAATAACTTATTTTGTCATTCAAATGAGCTTTTATTTCACACTGCACACGTAGTAATTCATATGTCTTTCTTTCAAGTTTTTTTTTGGTTGTGTTTTATTTGGATTTCTAATTTTTTCTTCTAATTGTTTTGTTTCCTCCGCAAAACTTTTTGTAAATTTTCAAACTTTTTATAAAACAGTTCCTTGCTCATGCCTGTTTTCGCCCTGACAATTGATTCAAGTTTCATCATTTTAGCCTAATTAGATGATATAATGGCTGATTTGCAATGTTGTTGCATGCATGTTACTCGTTTCTAAGTCTGGGTCTGTGGATTCCGCATCGGTCATTGTTGGATTTAGATTCCATTTATCAAAAGGTTGATTTTCATCATCAACCCCACTCCATGAATCAAATAGAGAGGTTGTGTAGTTGTACTCTGGAGGTTTGTTTAAAGTGTACACCGATTTTATGAGTTTAAAGAACTAAACATATGTATTGCCCTTCACTTCTGCCTTCCACATCATTTCCGCCATATGACCTTCCCACTGTGGACTCTTGTCCCTGACATACATCGAAAGTGGTCCTTGCAGTGCTTCCATGTACCTTCTATTTGATTTGTGTGTACTGTAACTAGTTCTCCTGTACTTTGTGCAAAAACGTCCATTTATCAAATGTCATTCATTCCATTATTATTCATTTCAGACTGTAACTCCAAAAATATGCCAACCCAGCCACAAATAGAGCACAATTCAAGTATATTATAAGTATATTTGAAGCTCTTTGGTAAAATATATAAGAAGCTTAGTTGCAGTCCCTGCTTCATATGTGCTTTCATCTATTCGTTAGAAATGCTAATGGCCAACACATAGGTGAAGCTCCTTTGAAGTGCCGTTTGAATTATGCTAATTAGGCTTCAACCGTACTTCTTTAAAGCATCTTTGAAGTACCCTTTGAGAAGTACATTTGAAGCTTACATATTAAGGGCATTCAGTGTAATTATGCAGCATACTTGAAGCCCATAAAGAAGTACAGATGAAGTCTCAGTTAAGAAGCATACCTGAAGCTTTTCTTTGAAGCACACATGAAGCATATTGATGAAGTACAAATTAAGTCCCAGTGAAAAAAGTACTATTGAAGCCCCACTACAGAACTTAAAAGCTCCAAAATCAGTTAACATTTTTAGATTTCTCTTGAATCTTTAATTTTAATGGATTAATTACAATTAAGGTTTTACAGACATCAGTAAATCACAAAATCTCACCTGAGCACTTTTTTTGTTCAGGTGAGCATTGCAGTATCAACTTTCAACTGATAAACAATAATAATTCATTAAATGTTACATCAAAGAAATTTATTCAGTCATTTCACCCACATTAACAAATACGGTTCCATGCATAAAGGTATAACACTATAAAACATCTTATAAGCGTAACATCTATTAAATTTCAATTTATACATGTCCTTCACTTTCAGTCTTTTCCAAACAGATTCACTGGCACAATGCTGGTTTGATTTTATATGTTGGGAATACCTCTTCTGCATCCTGAAAAAATTTATTTTAAAATGATTTTTATTATGTATATATGCACAAATGTTCTAGATTGGTAATCATGCAGCTTTAAAAAACATAACACTAATACAAAATATCTGTAAAAAAAGTTTGCAAATGTATTAAAATTAAATTTTTCAACTTAAGCAAGCACAAAAATTGCCAGGAAAACAACTCACAGTGTATTTTGTTACTTTTGGGGTCATAATCATCTTAATAAGGACATATAATGTCTTTGTAGCCCAGTCAGATAATGAGTGGCAATGCTTAATTATTCACTTACTTAATGGTTAAATATTCATTCTTTGACATAACAACATCAAATTCTTCAAATGCCAGTTTCAAATTTTTGTATCACAATTCTCACCAGTGAAAGCTTTAGGTGCATAAAGCAATAGACATTAAACATGATAAAATCTGATCAAATTTGTTTATGAGAAATAATAATTGTAACATCATTCAATTCACCTGGAGCAGATAATTAAGTAAGAGTAAAAGTGTTAAGAAATTATATAATTTGATATACCATATTGTTTCCATTTAACAGTCCCTCCCTCTAATTAGCCCCCCCCCCCCATCCATCCTTACACGCATTTATACATTTTGTGGAAGAAAAATACTCTGCCTTAATTCTTTTTCTTTGACAATTATATGAAACAATTTCTCTAAATATAAAATGAATTAACCTTTAGAAAAGCCAAAGGCCACTTTATAGAATTCACGATAAACTTTATATAAGTTTTTCTCAATTATCTTCTGCATATATAATCACATATTGACAAGGATCATATTTTCAAAACTTTTGTTCCCCTTGAATGTAGAATTTCATGTAAAACTTAATTATTTATTTACCAAACTGTTTTATTACTGATAGGATTTTATTTCAAAATTGAAGTAATACTTACTAACTGATTGTCTTTATTTGACAGTTACTGGCACCTATATGAGTGTAAGAATTATACCAATAAAACTTTAAAGAAATTTAAACTTTGAATAGATGTTCCTCATTAACATCTTACAACAAGGATGATGATTCTGTTTAAGTCTGGAACATAATTTTGAAAGATTTAACCCCCTTTAAACTTAAATTTTAAAGAAAATGGCTTTTTTTCTTTTGAATTTATTGTTTTATTTTATTTATTTAGTTAAGATTCTCTGTTTTGATAGTTTTTGCTATATATTGTTTAGTCTTATGATATAAAAGTTTAAAGCAGCTTGCCTTCACATTCCTGATAATTTTCATGAAAATTTTGAAAGTGAAGTAAAATATTGTGAAGTGAACAAAAAAAGTAATTTACTTATTGCAAATTGTGCTAATTCAATTAATTAACGTAAATTACACCCCAAAAAGGACCTGATGGTGGTATAGATACTTTAAAATCAGTCGTATATCGTACATAACATGTAAATTATTACTTGAACCTTTTTACTTTTCTTCAAATCTTATATAGATCTAGTACATTATTTTTCTCAAATCTGATTTTCTTGAAATATTTTGGTTCATCTAAAGGCATGTAGCTTTAACATTGTACAGAACATTTATTTTTCTTTAGGTCAATTTTTCACCATTTTAATGAGCCTTATTTGATCATTCTAGCTGTAAAGGCACATTATGCCGCAGAAATTCATATTTATGAAATCCTTAAGAAATGTCAAACACATGTTAAATAATATTTAAATAATGGATTTAGAGCATGTTGGATGTTTAACAGTTTAAGAAAGTAGCATCTTCAGGGCAGTTAATGTGTTTTAAAGGTAGCAAATGTAAACAAAGTAGTATTTTGACTTCCATACAAAATACTAATTCATTATAATTGTACCAATTGCCAACAAAGCAAAAGAATCTTTATAACAAAAGACTATTTTTTGGTAGCATTTAGATACCAAAAATCCAAAGTTTTTGTGAAAATAAAATGATAGCATTTCTGAGGCATAATGGGCCTTTAATAATGTTATTTAGATATAAATAGATTACAACATTCATCAATGTTATCAGTAATTTAACATGTTTAACAATGAAATCCTATTATCACATGATTTGTTTATAAATATGATAAGTTACATTATCTTGTTATGACTGTAATTTGTTGTTAATATGATAAACGTGTATAATTTTAATGCTCATATATTTTAGAATGTTTTAGATTTATATGTTAAAATCAAAGAAAAGTGAAAAGAATAAAAATTTTGAAAGGGATATTAAAGTATTTGTTTTTAGTTTGACAAACTAGTGAAATTGATAAGGTAACCAGTGATATTTAGTGCAGTGAATTTATAATGTTTAGTATGAATTTTGTTTTGATCTAGTTTCTTCTTGCCCCCTAATAGCTGAATAGGGAAAGCATCAGATAAATAATCAAGGGGTCACTGGTCGATCCCAAGACGAGGCCAATTAATCTGTGACAATAGATCTCAGACAGTGAGTCTTAAATGGTCATTTGTTTCTCACAAAAATTTATAAAACAGTATTGTTCTTGGTAAGTTCTTGGTCTCATGGTTACTGGTTAGTTATCCAGGCAAGTTTTCTAAGGTGGACTGAAAGCCAATTTATGACCAAGGATGTGTTGAAATCGTGTGTAAAGACCAGAAAAACAAATTGGTGAATTAATTCTATGGGATTATTGATTAGAATTTAGTATACTACCAAGGACATCAGGTTGGTGTTTCTTTTTGGGTACATGCTTGTGTTTAAAATAATGTCTGAAAGGAAAGAGGTCTACCTTTACAAGTAAAGCTCAGCCCTTAACCGGCTGAATTAAAAAAATGTGTAATAGATTTGCCCAGCTTTGAATTTTGGAACAGTCCATTCCAAAGCTAAGGGGATTTCAGTATCAGTGTACACTGAATACAAAAATTTGAGCTACCAACAGAATAGAACCTTGTCCGATTTCAAAATGGCTTAACCTTTTACCCCATGAGCATATTGCGAAAAATGGCCGTTTTCATTGAAAAGCCTCCTGTAACAAGTTCAAACTGCTATGAAACTATGAAAAATGCTTCAATACTAATGAAACTTGGCACAAATGTTGACTACACCATAGTGTCTGTAACAGCATGCTCAGTGGTAAGTTTCATGTTACCATGGCAACGGGCGAAGTCTCCAAAATTGCCAAAAATCACTATTTTGCTTTGTTTTTTTCCATCAAAACTGATTTCAAAGTGCTGCAACTTCTCAATGAATTGAGATAGAGTAAAAGGCTTTTCAGCGTCGGTTACTAGTTACCCTAAGATCGACCTGAGGCTTTTAGCCTGTCACATGTCCAAAATTTTCTTGGCGACAAGGGGGACTCCACCCCCCTTCAAACCCCCCAAACAGAATGGGGGTACATCCCCCTTCTGGCAACCCCCTGATGTAATATTTGGATGGGGGACGGCGCCGAAAAAGTGGTCACTTTTTTTAACAACATTTCTCAAACGAAAAACAGTGTTTGGCGCTTAAATAGGGCATTTTTTCACTGTTTGAGGCCTCAAAAAGGGGGGGCAAAAAGCCGTCGAAACACGCTTATATAAGGGAAAAAGTTAAATCACTACCTTTTTCAAACTGGAATGTCTGCACGAGCCTTTAACTTTGAATAGACCATTATTAAATTGTACAGGTTTTTCAAATCGTTTAAGGAAATTTGCTACCTCAATTGATCAAACAATGTGACTAAAGAACAAAGTGTACAAGTTAATAAATACTGAATTTTGAATAAATACAAATGTTGTATAATTATGGGCTCGAGGCCTTAGTACCAAATATACTTTGAATGGGTGTATGTTGAATTTACATAAAGTTTGAATAAATTAGATGCCCATTGTCACAACATAGACTATGGCAGATCTGAGGGAACATACCTTACTGCTGGACAAGACGGATCATGATAACCAGGGGTATACTAATCTTGGTTATGGTAAGTTACTTTTACTTAATTGATCAGTTTCTACATAAATTTATAAAGTTAATTCTAACGTGCTTCACACTATTTCCCTTTCAAACAGATAAGGGCAATCATAAGTGCATTATTACAATCATGATATGAGCCGCGTCACGACAAAACCAACATAATGGGTTTGCGACCAGCATGGATCCAGACCAGCCTGCGCATCCGCGCAGTCTGATCAGGATCCATGCTGTTCGCTTACAAACCCTATAACAAGTAGAGAAATTGATAGCGACCAGCATGGATCCTGATCAGACTGCGCGGATGCCCAGGCTGGTCTGGATTCATGCTGGTCCCAAACCCATTATGTTGGTTTTGTCATGACGCAGCTGATATATGCACAGCATAAAAAAAGGCTTACATGTTGTATGACATCAGATATTACATCAATAAAACAAATGATGTCAGGAAAGTTAGTTTTATGCATAATGTAGTTCAACATATTTTATCAATTCTCTCTTTTATTATCTGTTAGAATGGAAATAGATATGATATTAATTTTTCTTGCATTATAGTATAATAATGCTAGGTTAATTGTTCAAATGCCTTGTAATAAATCACTCGAGCCTATTGGCCTGCGTGATTATATCTATATGCATTTGAACTCCAACCATGCATTTTATTCTACAAAAATGCACTCAAAATTGATATCTATTTCCTAAAAAGATTATCAATGTCAATTGTTTTACTCTTATTGGCCTTTAATTCATCAGCATATCTTAACCAATGTCATTAATGACCATAACGTTATAGGAGTTTCCTAAAAGAACAAAACAATTTCATTTATTTATTACATTAATTAATTACAATCATAATGTTCCCTAATGTGGTTGAGACATCAGAACTGCAGCCACCATTTATATCCCTGCTTGATCATAAGAGGCCACTAAATTGGTTTGAATCTGTGCATCTCTAATAGCTCCAGCAGGTGGAGTGGTTTTGACCACTGGTGTTGCTTTGGTGATTGTAATCTGTTTCGTAGCCATATGACCTAAACTGTGTTGGTGCACCATAAAATAAAAATCTTTTTTTTAACAGTCTTAATAGTTTATAATTTGCCATTGCACATGATTAAATAACTTTCTTTAGCGTCTAGCTAGCTGTTTGTCTTAAAAGAAAGCTATCCCTATTACAAGTTTGATTCCATATATAGTAACACGTTGAGGGATTAAATGAGGCAGATGTAATATAAAAAAACCAGGCATTATAATTATGTCCATAAACAATATTTCCAATATAATACAGTCAAGTTTTATTTATGCACAGGGAGCAGGAAGGAGTCAGCAAGCAGTTTTAGCAGTATAGACCATAAATTAACTCTAGATGAGTTGTTATACAGAATTCAGTTTGCTTTCTTAAATAAAGGGTGAGTTATTAAATTATGTTCATAAAAAGGTCAAAGTAAGATTAAGTTAACCATAAATAATTAGCCTTTGCCATCATTATAACAAAATCATAAATTTACAAATTTAACTGTTTCAAATTCAAAGCCCAGCTAATCTATGGTTAAAGGTAGTGTGTTGCCTCATTGTCAGTGTGGAAATTTTGTTGGAGTTCTTGCACTGAGCACCGCGTTGAAATAATGCCATGGATTACTTTTGCATGATGAATCTTAAAATTCATTCATTTCTTAGACTCCCATCATGTTAGTAATAGGAAGAGAATCTTGTGGCAACATGTATTTCATACTGTTTTTATTTGGGGGAAAAATGCCTTTCTTTCTCGACATTTACTATGCTCCTGAAAGACATGTTTCATATTCAATCACAGTTATTGTGAAACATATTTCTAATTAAAAAAAATTCTTTAAATTATGGCAAGGCTGAGTGGTTAACTTTTCAGAAGTCGGTCTAAGACTTGCTGGCTGCATGGGTTCAAACCAAGTCAGTGGCAAATAAATTGTTGTTTCCTTGAGTGAGAAACTTACCTTACCGGTAGGTTCCAGGAATATATTTCAGAATGTTTCTATAAGCATATAGCTTCCAACACAAACTAAAAAAGATTCATGTATAAAGTATAATATGTAACATTTTTGATTTGTGTCTAGGTATAATGTAGAGGCAGACATACAACAGTTGTTACAGGAATGTGATGAAGATGATATAGACATACTGTTACAGGGTCTAAACTCTTACCCACTGAAAATTCAACAAAAACTAGAAATATCAAGGTAAAGTTAATTTGCCTTAATCAGATAAAAGAACCTTCTTGTCATATTGAAAACAATATAAAGTGTTGATATGTATATCTAGCCATAAAGGGGCATCTCTGGCCAGATGGTTTAAAGGATGTTGACTTCAATCTACTTGCCACTCACAGCTGTGGGCTCAAACCCCGACTTGGACTTTGGATACTTTCATGTGAAGATGCGATCCAGCTAGCGTAAAGGAACATTGGTGGTTCTACTCAGATGCCTATTAGTGCCTTAAATGATGCAGGGAAGAGTACATGAGGTCTTCAGCCACCAGTATAACTGGAAAGTTGCCGTATGACCTATACTGTGTTGGTGAGACTTAAAACCCAACAAAAAAATTATCTAGCCGTAAAGAAAAATGCTGTAACGGGTTCACAGTAAATAAGCTAAATCACTGTACCTTGTCTTGGGAGCCTTTTACTATTCAATGCATACCATGTCTTGCAATTATGAACACCTGTTACTTCCAGTCCTTGTTGAACCTTTCAATGGAGCCTATATATTTTAATGTGTGGTAACTGGATGTAGATTTGTTTATACACTTCAGGTGTATTTTAGCCAGATAAAGTTAGATTAAAATCAACGTTTGCTTCTTCTAATCAGAAATGATGTTTGAAACATTAATTTTCTAAATATTGCAGGTTATTACGCAGAGAGGGAAATATGAAAATTAAATATAGGAGAGGAAAAGACCAAAAAATGCAAAAGGTACTTTATATTTTCAACATCTTTTTGCTTGGGTAGTCAAGTGGGTTACAATTGTCTGCTGATTTTTTCTTCATTGATTTAAATCCCCACTTCTACATGCCTGTACGAAAATGCCTACCCTGACTACACCCTGATTTGACATGGGATCAGAAATTTATTCCCAGCCAGTTTTTTTTTACTATTCAGTTGACTATAGAGAAGACAGAAATCTATTTTTAGATTTTTTAGTATACAATATATAGTGTTTTCAGGGTGGATTCAACGAAATATTTAAATGAGCCAGAAAAAATACCACCCTGAAATGGAAATCCAGGGCAGAATTTTCACTCACACAGATTTCTAAAAATAGATTTACTTCTAGTTAAATTAAGAGCAATTTCAGGGTGGGATTTATTTGAAATATTTAAATGAGCCATAATTCACCCTGATTTCTATTTAAAAAGTCAGGCCAGACTTTTTTCCTCCTGTTATTATCCTGCCCCAAAATTTTGCGAATCCCACCCTGAAATTAAAATAAAAATCCGCCCAGGTTCCTGTTCTTTTTGATAATTGACAAAATAATAATTGAGATTTTTTTTTCACTTATCTGTATTTGATTTTCATACAATTAAATACATTTCAAAAGTCATTCTTGTTTGATATTTCCACTAGTTAGCTGCACACTGTATTACATAATTCCACACTATAGTATCTGTACCACACAATCTGTAAACATATGAAAGCAGTGTAGGAATATTCTGTAGACAACTTTCAATTTATATATCAATCTAAAAGAAAATGTAACACCTAAATATAGAGAAATATGTCCATACAGTGTAGTTTTAAAGGTATAATATTTCATTAATTGCAATCAAAACATCAAAATCAAAAGAAGAAATGATTGATGAAATTATTTTAAAGAAGATACAGCATTATAAACATATATGTACTGACTTCATGAAGTCATTAATTCCAAAAAAATTGCAGGAATAATTGCTTTTAATAATTAAAACTGAAACTAATTTTCATAGAAAATGAAAAAAGTAAAAATTACCAGTAATATTTCCTCTATTGTATTATTTTGTTCCAACTACACCATTTTCTTCTTCTTCATCGTCTTGTCACAAATTGTTACTGAAATATTTGGCTTCAACCTAAATTTTGGAATTAGAAAAAAAAAACAATTATCAATCATGTCATCATTTTTATTACATTTTTAGACTTCAGTAGTTTCTTTTTCTACAAAATGTATAGTTTATTTAGAAATATTAAGAATTATTTCATTTTCCCTCCATATTTTAAAACAGGTGTCCTGGAAATTTATTTAAAATCTTTTCAGAATACTGAGCTTACAAAAATTCATTATTTTATGAAAAATTAAAAAATATTAAGAACTGTAATTCAATTATAACTTACCATTGATCTGTTACAATTGGCTGCTAATTTCCCTCCATGTTTTCAAATTGAATAATGAAGTTTAACACATCTATTATGCTCCATTTTATATATAAGTTTCACAATAAATTTCCCAAGAAAGTTCTGTATAGCTGGGGTAGTTGAAATCTTAAAATTTCATTTTCAAGGTAATTAACAAAACTCATTTATGTATTAATATATAAATGTAAGTTGATTTATTTGAATTAAAATCACAACTAAAGCCTCCAATCTTTCTTTAGAAAATAACCATGCTGGAAATAATGTTCAGGGTGTGATATTTGTTCGGCATTTTAAACCGTTGTCAGTCAATCTGTGGTAACTTCTCTATTTTCATCTACCAGATAGCCCAGTTTAACATAAAGTATTTTGAAATACTGGATAAAGTTCCACTTGAAGGATGTTTGTTTATATAAACTGTAAGCTGACCTTAGAGGTAGGAGATTCTGTGCAGATTGTGAGATGGTGGATAAAAACTAAAACTCTTGAACATTACTTAGTCTTATTGCTGACCAATAAATGCATTAAATAATAAATTTTTTGTCATCAGTTAAATATAAAAACAATCAATTAGTAGTAACAATTATCAATTTTATATATAACAATAAATCATGTTGAGCTAAATAATCTACATAATTTCAAAAAAAAATAATAAAAGAATAATTCAGTAAATGAAAAGAAGTTTTGTTAAATGGAGTATACCATAAATCAACTGAAACTTTCCAGAAATATATACTATAATATCTTTTCTTCTGAATTAAAATTTTTATTTTGTCTAACAGCAATGTAAACTGTACTATTAGTGTATTACAATATTCATTTCTAATAACTCTAACTAAGAAAAATCTGGCTGGAATTGAAGAACTTTTAAGGACTGTATTGAAACCGGTTCTTGAAAATTTTCTAACTTTGAAATATCTGGGTAGAGTTTGCTTATATTTCTCAAAGTCAGTAAAATCTGTGTCAAAATATTTTCAAAGTGCAAATATTCCTGCCTCCACCCTGACTTTTACCAAAATGAAGATGATGTCGGGGTAGAAAAAACTTGAATTCCCATGTGAGATTTCTTGAAAATTCAGGGTCCATGTCTATTTCACCCTGATTTTGCCAATTCTGGTTCAAAACAGGCCTGAATCGGTCCTGTTTTTCATAAAAGCCATGCTGATTTTTCGTACAGGCGAACTCTTAGCTTAAGCATTTGTATTTAAGAAATATTGAAGCATATATAAGTATGAAACATGTTTCCTTGAACATGCCAGTACTGGTATCATTGGAGAAAATCTGGTCATAATCCAGCTAGGGTTTGAATGATTGATCCTTACCACTAGGTCACTTCTCCTCTTACAGAAACTCTTTTATTTAAAGAAGCTATGCAACAAGTCTTTTGATGGTAGATTGGTCTGATTGGGAATGAAGAACAGAAGAGCATCTGAGAGGTCTTCCTCCACCAATATAACTGGAAAGTCGCCGTATAACTTAAACTGAGACTTAGAACCTAGTAAAGCTGGAAATCGGCCTGTTTTAAAACCTACTATAATTATAATGAGAAACATATTTTGTCATACTTGTTGATGTAGAAATACAAATAAATCTTGACATATAACTGTTTTTGGATTATTTTACAGAGAAAAGGTGCTGACAGTGTTTTGGCTATGTTTGCACTGTGGGAAGAAACAATTAAAAAGATTTCTGGTTAGTTTTAAATCAGTTATTGTTAAATGTGTAGTGACTGTTCATGCGTTTGACTTTCTTTCTTAATTGCACAAGGTATGTTCAATCATAAGAGGGATATTGACATATGAGCCGCGCCATGACAAAACCAACATAATGGGTTTGCGACCAGCATGGATCCAGACCAGCCTGCGTATCCGCGCAGTCTGATCAGGATCCATGCTGTTCGCTTACATACTCTATAACAAGTAGAGAAACTAATAGTGAACAGCATGGATCCTGATCAGACTGCACGGATGCGCAGGCTGGTCTGGATCCATGCTGGTTGCAAACCCATTATGTTGGTTTTGTCATGGTGCGGCCTAATTACTAAATGTTTTAATCTTTGTTTTTAACTTTAAGCAATACAATATGTTTCTGGGGACTTGAAAACTAACTTATTTACTATAGAATATCTTCAGTAGGTTTAGAATTTAAAAAACATAGGTAAAAAGTGTTCAGGACATTAGGACTTTTGTATGACTGTAATAGAACAAATTTGCTGATGTAATTTAGGACTTGTGTGTCCCGCCAATAATAAATTTTGTTGAAATTTAGTCCAGTATTAGGACTTGTGTGTCAGGCAAAATTTACTGATTAAAATTTGTTGAAATTTAGTCCTAAATTAGGACTTGTGTTTCGGGCAAAATTTACTGATACAATTTTGCTCTTCAGAAATTGCATACAGAATTACACTGGTGTTTTAGTTAACCTTTTCATTTAAAACAATGTCTGAAGATATGTCTTCGGGACATGTATGTCTTCGGATGGCGTCATTTTGTCTGTCTATAGACAATTTATTTCAGCATAATACATGTTATAAATTTTGAAGGATATCAGTACTTAAACGTATACATGTATATGGCATGAACATAAGAAAATTATGATTATAAATGATATATATACATGAGTATACATAAAAATAATCTCAAAAATAGTGACATAATAATTATTGTATTTCAGCATATTTTGGTAGCAATGTAGCCTCATATTTCCAGTTTGTGAGGACTCTTCTATACATAAACATAATGATGATGATGTTGATGGTTGGATTTATTATTGTACCAGAGGTAAGTATTGAGTGTCAGTTATATTTCTATCACTTGGTTTATACGGAGTATGTTTTAGTTTGATTGTGTTGGAGGCTATAACCTTATAGACTGTTCCTGGAACCAACCAGTACAGAGAAATGAGTGTAAAGTTTCTTGCCCAAGGAAACAATAACATGTCCCTGACAAAGTTTGAACTCAAGTGACTAGCGATCATTGGATTACTAGTCAGACACATTTACCACTCTGGCATGTGGCCAGTTTTAAATAATAATTAATCTTACACTTGTATATGGTTGAGAGATAAAGGTCACTGACTTTAAACTAAAATTATTAAGCTTATTTTATTCAGAAATATTTATTTATGTTTTAAAATATAACAAGTTCTTAAAAATTATATATACCCTTAAAGCCTGCTTTTGGCAACTGAATTTACCCATGGGACTAGTTCAGACCAAGACTAGCTGGCACATCTGTACAGTATGAGCATAGTCTGTACTGTTCAATACATTATTATTTTGTAATTGTTCCTAAAATTGATGAATGGTTTTGTCCAGATGTAAACATTAACAAAATATTTAATGGTGTATTGGTTAATAACATGACAGCGTGCTTCCTGGAACAACAACTAAAAGGCAAGTTATGCTCTAACTTGGCTGTAAATGCAGTCTTATTCAATGTTGTCTATTTCAGATAATTCAGGGTAATTTCCAGACCGATGTGACTTATGGAGGACATTTTGTAAGTTGAACATTGTATATTCTTAATGTATATTTGTAGTAGAAAGACGTTGCTGTTAAGACAAAACATGCTTGATTATATGATGCAATATCAGATATAATTGTCATATACATCCAATAGCATACTATATTTTCATGCTTTAAAATAATTAATTCATTAATCCTCAATGTTCTAACTGCATGCAACTTATGTTCTACCTACATGTATACATCTAGTTTACAAATGCAAACCAGTCAGCTGGCACATCTTTGCTGTGTTATCATGGTCTATACTGTTCACTATTCAGTCATGGTATAATTTGAAATTTTTGCAAATAATTATTAGTGATTTGTCCAGATTGTAAGATTGATGGACAAGAACATTTTAATATTAGCTTGGTTAGGGTTAAATTATGTTGTCCAGTTATATCACAATATAGAGACCATTTACAGGAAAGGTATTCAAGAAGAGTTTTGATGTATAAGAGCACTGTTTGCTATTCATTCAGTACATATATGACTTTTTTCTCCCCAAAAAATGATCAGTTTTGTTTGGATTGAAAGATAGACAAGTCCATTTAAGATTTCCAGCTTAGAAAATGTTAATGTATTCGATCTAACTAGAACTTCTACTGCTGCATAATGCGTAGAGGCTACCTAAGAATCATCTGCCCTCAGTAATTTTCCAATCAGTGTTTATATTTGAGACTAATTAACTAACAGCAATTCATTGTTATTTTTTAATTGAATAAAGACTGATAATTTCAGACACAAAACATAGTGCTATAATTTTGGATAAACACTGTTTATTGGGAAATGGAAGAAGGATTAACTTTATTTATTTTCAGGGTGAGCTGTCCAACAGTTTCATGTTTTATGGTTTGTACACGGAGGATCTTGGGCTGTCTTACAATCTACCTCTAGCATACTTCCTGACCTGGTTATCAGCCAATCTTGTTTGTTTCATCTACATCATAGCTATGTAAGTACAGTGGCGTTGTCGAGCACATAGTTATTGTAAAGTATTTTCTATTTGGGATGTTAATAGGTTTTTAAGTCAAATCAAAATTGATAGGTCACCTATTGGCAAACCATAATGTTTCTGGAAATGAATGGTATCATGTCTGAGGTCTGCACTCTCAGTGCCTGAAAGGCGGGATAGACCCTTATTTAGCCTGGAATACATGTACATACAGATGGAACACTTATAAAAGTGACCGTTGAGCTGCATTGGCTTGATATGTAAGAAGAAAGGGACCTAGATAGTTTACTGAAGAAACATGAGCATTACTTAAAAACACTATGTTCTACTAGACCTACACATAAAATTATTGCTAGTTATTTCCCCCAAATATTCTAATCTCTGGATTTAATCAAATATAGACAACATAGAAAGTTTAAGGATCCCACACATTTTCAGTTTTTCAACGAATGTTGAATTTCTACATTTAACGTTATGACCACTGCTGTTCAAAACTTGAAAATTTAGCCATTTCATGTATGAATGACGTCATTTTTGGGCATAATGTCACATTAATATAATAAAACGTGTTGGTGGAATGTATGGAAAAATATAAAATAAATTATGAATAAACTAGAAGTACAACTTAGCTTTAATAACTTTGTTGATGTGCTACGCCAAGTGCATGTTAACATAGTCATTCAATATAACAGGCAGCACGTGTTAAGCACAAGAATTTAATAAACTCATACTCAAATTGTAGAAAACATTTTACGATCGCTGAAGATGAAGATGCAAGACTCTTAGTCCTAGAACTTTTTGAACAGCCCTCCTATATAACCTGTTCGATATCTTTACAACAAATAATATACTAAATCACTTTATATAGTTACAGGTTAGATAAAGAATTTTAGATGTTAATTGTATTTCAGAATGATAGTGAGGTATCGCAGAAGTAAGTTAGCTGATGACAGAGGAAATGAGTACAAGTTTGCTTGGCGTACTTTCTGCTCCTGGGATCATTCTGTAACTAGTAGACAGGGCGTTATTGACTTTAGGACATCTTTAAAAACTGATATAAAAGTAATCAAAATTTTACTATTGTATAAATCTTGTGACTGAAAACTTTACTTTTTGAAGGAATGAAATGAAATATTAAACAGTAATTTTTATGTAGCATAAGCTTAAAAGCCCTTGTGCTGAAGTCATTTCAATTATATAATTTACATAATGCACCAGAAAAATGCAACCTTGACCTCCCTATACCTACGGCATGCCAGGTGAATGAGTGAAGTTTTTACTTAAAATTTGTCAAAGCACTACATCTATACTGCCTGAGCTACTCTGTTTTATCTGACCTGGTTCAAGTGCCCCCAAAATATTCCGTACCAAAATGAACTGAATTAAATAGCTACCTGACATATGTGACCATCGGCCCTACATTTTCTGGTCTGAATGCACGGTTTTTTTCTCTGTTTTAAATCACTGAATTAAGGTATTCTCTCACAACTTTCCACATGTCTTCTTGAATATTAATTCTACATTATTCAGACTCGAGCACTGAGAATAGTTCAACATGCAGTTCTTGTTGAGCTTGATCTGGAAACGTTTTAACTTAAAATGTTAAATTATGTTTTGAAACATGAAACTTTTTCAGGAGATAGTAAGGGAAGAAAAGAGTTCAGTTAGAGTGGATTCTTGTACCAAGTAAGAGTGTTATTTTGTTTCCATCAAAATGAATTATTTTTATATGATTTTTAAATGGAAAGATCTACTGATATTTGAATCCATCTGATCAATTCTTACTCATTATGGGGGAATTTAGGTTTTAGACAGGACTGGTTTTAAGAAAATATGAATGCTAGAGGCATTTTATAGTACAAGTAATATCTTGAGTGTTTTAACCTAATACGAGTATGCTGAAGACGATGAGGGTGGATACCAAGAAAATAAAATTGACCTTGACCTTCAAAAGGTCAATTCAAAATGGCCGCTTAAAAATACTAAAATAGGTCATTAAAACTATGATACAATATGATGCAATAAATTATTCTTGTCAAAATCAAATGATTATCAATATTCTCTAAGTTTATACAATTATTAAATTAATTAATAACAAATTTATAGTAATATATCAGGTTAACACGTAAAAATCACTCAAAAACAAGGTCATATTTTTATTTCGCAAAGCATGATTATTATTATCATGTAAGCTAAAACTACATTTCGTTTTTATACTTTTATCATATTTAAGAATTTACTGAATAAATTTGATACTGAAGCTTTGAAAAAACTGTACTGTGTTATGCAATAAAGCTCTCAATATTGTTTTATATGTAAATATTACATCACACTCATGAATTGAGTGCCCATTCGTTTTATGTACACATGCCAGTATTTGTCACAGTCTGAAGCATTGGTTTGGTTAAGTCGTTTAGTCTTTCAATATGTTGTTTTCTGATTTTGTTTACTGCTCAAAAATGTGATAAAGGCTTTGACGGTCTTACAAATAAAAAAACGATTAAAGGGCAGATTGAAATAAATTCAAAGTTCAAATCGTGAAAAAAGCCTCATTCCTGAACAAAAGGTAAGGTAATGTAAACCAGTGACTTGTAAGAAAATTAGGGTTGGAGATTACTTGGGAGACATTCTTTTTGATTTTAGGATTTTATGGATTCCACTGTAAAATACTAAGGCTATGAGCTTATCATGCCATGATCTCAATTGACTTAAAACCTAGTTTGGTCAAAGCTGTCGATAATTTGAGCTTTGGTTATTCAATAGCAAACGCAAATGTAACGCTTTCATTTTCAAATCCCACAAGAATCAGCTAAAACGCAATTGAGAACCTTGTGAATATTTAAAGTTTTTGGCAAACAGGTTATATGCTTGAGCTGAGAAAGTTGTTAGCATTTATAAGCGTGGCTTGTTTTAAAACAAGTATATTAGGACAAGTTAATCTATAACGGGTGGCTTAAAATTAACATAAGTGATCCCAACACAATTAATGAAGCCATCTCATCGCTCAGTAAATACCGACAGGACTATTTGTCCATATTTTTGGGGGGTAAAAGCAGAAACTGTTTGATGGTTAGGGAGTAGTGATGGAGTAGTGATGGTAAGAACTGATAAGCAATCATACGGTCATACCAGTCTTCTGATAACTCCCCTACAACTTTTATATGGGAAGCTCGCTCTATAATGTTGCCGTTGATGCTGAGTATCTTGGAGACTTAGGTTTAGCGATAGTGGTGGTTATGGTACCTATAGGAAAGGCAATTTCCCAGTGAGTAATGGTGGGGGAAGAGTAGTTTAAGAGTGGCTCAACCTCTGACTATTTAGTAATGTTGGGAGTAAGGAAAACTGCAAGAAAAGCCGTGCCTGAATTATATAAGTATACCCGGTGAATTAGTGGATCATAACATTTAGAAACAAATAACTCAAATTTTACATCTTATGGGTTGTAGTAGCCACAATCAGACCTTGGGCAAATTACTTTAAAAAGTAAGTGATTAAGACACAATTATTTCTTATTCTTTTACAACAGTTACAATAAATTACTCTAACTTTTCTCCAGGGATTGACAGAATAACATTATATTTTTTTCATGAATAATTATGATAACTTCTGATTAGAAGGTCAATGGCAATTTTAGCCTTGATATGCATGTTGTAGTTAATCTGTTTGGCTGACATCAAAGTAGAACACTGTCGTAACCTACTTTGTGCAAGCTTCAAGTACAAGTAACTGTTATTAAAAAAAAGAAAACCAAAACGTTTGCATAATATAATGGCTTTTTTAATGTTAATTATTCATAAATTGCGTGGTATAGGGTTTCTTGTGATGAAAATAAAACGAGCATTTAGCAGAATTTGAAGTCATAACCATGACATCTCATTCAATGACAAAGTCACAGGGCAATAAATGTTGCTGCCAACTAAAAAACTTTTTTTCTTAGTCTGGCCCAAGGGTTCGGAGGTTTTTGATTCATGAGTTTTATAATATGCATTATTAATTAACTGTGCAATATTGGGCGCATAAGCACTTGCAATTCAGAGCTGATGCATTTTCACTATGACATTAAGGATAGAAAACTCAGCCATTATGAAAAAAAAACACGTCCATACCGAGAAAAGTCGGCCGTTATATGATTAAAACATTCTGACTGACTTTTTAACATGGCCATTATGAAGCTCACGCTAAACATTGAACAATCCAATGCCATTTCGTTATTTATAATAATTAAAGTCTTTCATAATTGTACTCTTATTTAGCTTGAATCCTGTGGCTTTATAACAATGTCATTATGAAAACAAACTCCAATTATTGACATCATAGTAACACAGCTTTTTCCTAATGTTGATGCATATGGGTCAATAAATAAAATTTGTAAGTTGCTGGATAGGGCACTTTAACTGGGATCAAAATATAATCCTCTAGATGCTCATGCAGTTCAGCTTGTAGATATGTAGATGTGTATTTAGGTGATGCATTAGTCTAAATATGAAATTCTGGAAACAAAGTGATCCCTCGGAAGCATTAATCACAAACACAATACCATAAGAATTGCAGACTCGGTTTGACTGAGTCTGTACATGAGCGATAATGAATAAGTGCAACATCCCTCACGCCCCCTAGCACCGGCTTCATTCACTGACATCTGACTTGGAAACCAGTGCATGCATGGGAGGATAGGGTTGTTTGACAGTAATAAGAAATCCTTTAGTGAAGCAAAATTAAATCTAAGCTGTTATATAAATGTTTTTGGTTTTAAATTTCTAATGACAATATTAATCATCCTACTTAATATTTCCTGAATTTCAATATCGCAATAAGTGAATTGAATTGGGCAGCTCTGAGGAGTAAGAGTAAACTTTTTAGAAATTTCTTAGGTGGTTAGTCAAGTTTAAAAACCTTGTTGAAAGAAATACTGGCATATAGTGCTATGCAAATATAAGTAGGAATCTGAGTAGCCACTCTATATGCTTGAATAAAGTGCCAGATAAAATACATGAAATATCTATATTTTTAGCAGATAGGGCAGGGAAGAGTGTAGTGTTCGCTGCGTAAACCCTAAATATAGTGATGGTTCAAAGGAGTAGGGACTTTCTAGCAATTTTATCTCTTACATTCTAGTCTCTTATGTTTAAATGCCTTAAAATATTCAGTACTATCTTAAATATTACTTCTATATTTCTATTATATTGGCCTATAGCAAAAAGGTCCGCCATCTTGGATTTTTCGGCCATATTGGATTGGTTTTTTTTTTAAATTCAGTTTTGGTGTCTTTGTTTTTACCTTAACTTGCTTTGTGACAAATTTCTGGTTTTTCCTATCTTTAAAAAGTTTTATATATTTATTATCCATTTATGATAAAGAATTTGGCGGTTCCTATATTGGCCTTAAGAAAATGTCCGCCATCTTGGATTTTTTCGGCCATATTGGATTGGCTTTTTTTCAATTCTGTTTTGGTGCCTTATTTGTTTTTACCTAAATAATTTTATGCTTTGTGACAAATTTCTGGCTTTTCCTTTCATTAAAGTTTTTTTTTGATATATCAACCATTTATGATAAAGAAATGTGGCGGCCATTTTAGTGGTCATTTTAAATGGCCATTTCAATGGTCAAGATCAAGTTTTTCAGTTTGGTATCCACCTTTATCGGATTCAGCATACCTTAAATAGGTAAAATACACCAAGATACCACTTGTACTACAAAATGCCTCTAGCATCTTATAGAGAGCCAAATTCTCAAAATCAGTCCTGTCTATTTTTATAACCTAAGATTTGTGAGTTTGTTATCTTTTGCGGATGTATTGAAGGCTCTAATTATTAAGCTTTTCAGCTTTCAATACTGCTTAAGAATTATTAGTCCCCTACCGGTTTACCGGAGGGGACTTTAGGTTTACCCTCCGTCCGTCCGTCTGTCTGTCCGTCCATCCGTCCGTCCGTCCGTCAGTCCGTTCGTCCACAAAACTGGATCCGGCGATAACGCAAAAAGTACTGAAAATATTTTAATGAAACTTGATATATGGATAGATGGCAGTATGGAAATTATGCACGTCTTTTTCTTTTCTTCGTATGTTGAAAATTCTGGTTGCTATGGCAACAAATAGACTGAAAATATGGCAAATTTTACACATAACCTGGATCCCGCGATACCGCAAAAAGTACTGAAAATATTTTTATGAAACTTGATATATGGATAGATGGCAGTATGGAGATTATGCACGTCTTTTTCTTTTTTTCCTATGCTGAAAATTCTGGTTGCTATGGCAACAAATAGACTGAAAATATGGCAAATTTTACACATAACCTGGATCCAGTGATAACGCAAAAATTACTGAAAATATTTTTATGAAACTTGACATATTGGTAGATGGCAGTATGGAAAATTATGCACATTCTTTTCTTATCTTCCTGTATTGAAAATTCTGGTTGCTATGGCAACAAATAGACTGAATTTCAAGATTTCTGATTCTAGTTTTTCAGTTTTTTCACTATAAGTTCTTTATTTCTTAAAGGTATTTTCTTCAAACTTTAAATATAAGTTGCTAGTCATCAACCACATCATATGTGACAAAGTTTACAACTCTAGCACAAAATTTATCAGAATTACCTCCCTGGAACTTAAAATTTTCATGAAAAAAACATTGTTTTTTTTTAATAACTTCTTTTTTTCTGAACGTATCTACTTCAAACTTCATATAAATGTTTCTTATTATCACTCAACATTTGTGAGTGTTCAATACTCTAGCAAGACTATTTCCAGAATTATGCCCCTTTTGAACTTGTTTTACCAAGAATTTGGCAACTATTTGTGGAGAAATAAGTGTGTACTCATGACAAATGAGTTACTTAGTTACTGCTTACCATATGGTATGTAAAGCAATTAACATCGCTGTATTATTTTAAAATTGGAAATTATATAGTGTTATGATCGTATACTGTGTGGAATTGTTTTGCCAGAATTGTTAGGCCTTAGTTTGGTTCATGGTATGCCATATAAAAAGTGTACAAAAGAGGTAGTAAAAGTTGATCATTATTTCATTTTTAAGCAATTTTAAATTACTTATAGTAAGCATTTTATGTAGAAAATCTGATATATTTTTGCCAGTCAGTTATGTTCATTTAAAGATGATTGTTCTATTTTAAGTGCAGTATAATTTAACTAAGTTATAGTTAAACCATGTGTTAACTTATCCTGTAGTGTCATTTGTTAACTATATTTTTAAGTTATAAACGTTTTTTTGGCAGGTCATATGGCCAATATGGTCATATGGCCAATATAAATGGTTATAATAAAAGTGATATTAATGAAGCAATTATGTGAGGGTTTTATAGGAGGGCTAACCATATATACACAGCCATATAACCTGTCCAAGGTCATTACAAGAAACAAATTTATAATTTTAAAAGTTTGCTTTCTTTAATTCAGATTGAAAATAAATGATTATTTTGCTCCAGTCATGTATATTGATGATACAAATTTTTGACTGATTTATAAAATGTAATATTACAAACCTGCAGTGTGCATATAAGAATTATGTCTGGGTTTTATTTAAGGTTTCGGAACTATATGGGAAGGATTTTTAGTAACCTTGTAGTACTGGGTTTACTGGTTGGAAGTGGATTCCTGATATATGAAGTAGCTGATAATGAAGATCTTCTAAAAGATGTTGCTGATTTTGATTTTGTCAGAAAATATCAGGTAATTTACATGAGTAGCTAAACTTGAATAAAGTAGAACGAATACTTTTAGCTCTTATATTAAGAAATACATTAAAAAGAAAATTGCTTTTTATGTTCTGAAGTATTTTGCATGGCAGACTTTTAAGATTTTACAGCATCAAATTCTACAGTTCTGTATTAAAACTTGAGGGGCGTTTGTGGCCACGTGGTTGTCATTGACTTCAAATCACTCACCCATCACCACTGTGAGTTAAAATTTTCCCAGGGACTTTTGATTTTTTCATGTAAGGAAGCTATCCAACTAGCTTACAAATTTGTTGTTTTCTACTAAGATGCTCATTTGTGCCTGAAATGAGGCACTAGTAAAACTGGAAAATCACCATTTGACCTATACATTGTTGGTGCAACAATAAAAAACTAAAAACAACAAAGTTTAAATGTTGTTAATCAGTATCACTAACAGAAAAGTTTGGACAGCTATGAAAACAACACTGTTGTATGAAAATTTTAGACTCTGGTTTGTTTTGAGTCAGTTCATTAAAGTCTATTGTAGACAAAACGAAAACTATGTGATAAACATAATGAATAGCATTAGACTTCTGTACATGAACTTTACAATTTAATTGATATGTTGAAATACGGTAAGTGATAATTTCAGCTTACAGCTACTGTGGCAGGGCTCAAGCTTCTTGTTCCCCTTGTGTTTGAGCAGTTGGTACGACTTGAAGGGTGGCATCCCAGGATTGAAACCAAAATCACTTTAGCAAGGTAAGATGACAGAGATTATTTCATCAGTGACTCATATACCCTAAGGGTTACAAATTGTAGCATTTTTCTCTAATATGAGGGTTAACATAGTCCCTTAATGAAAATATTGTCTTTAAAACAGCTTGAAAATTTTCAACAGTAACAATCATTGACACATTTGCAAACTGGATGTGTTTTTGTGTATAAATATATTGTTTATATGAAAACAAATTTTTGCATTGAGGAGAAAAAGTAAATTAATAATTAAGTGATATGTAAAATTCTAAAATGCGTTTTACAACATATTTTAACCTTTAGCCTGCTAGTGGCAACAGAATATACCAATGTAACTAGTGCAGACCAAGATCAACCAAGACCAGCCGTCATATCTGTGTATATGCAGTTTATATAGGCCAAATAACCTGTCAATATTCTTTATAGATAAACATATAAATGGTTGCTGCATATTTATGTGTCAAATTTTCTCTGAAATTGCAGGGCAGATTTACTTCAAATTTGGTCTGTAGCATCCTTGTAACAGTCACACTTGACTTTGCTCATGTCATTTCAATTGGCTCCTTTTAGGGGTCAGCAGAGCTAAAAATAGAAAAACCTTTAAACATCTTCTTCTACAGAACTAATTGATGAATGATCACCAAACTTTGTCCGTAGCATTGTTAGGTAGTCTTTTATCAAGTTTGCTCATATTAATTTGATTAGCCCCTTTTAGGGGCCACTAAAGCTAAAAATAGAAAAAACCTTTGAACATCATTTCCTACTGAAATAATTGATAGATGATCACCAAACTTTGTAGCATTCTTAGGTAGTCTTTTATCAAGTTTACTCATATTAATTTGATGGCCCTGTTTAAGCTAAAGCTTAAATGCCCCAGGTCATGTCATTTCTTCAAATTATTGTTTAATCATTTTCTATGCTCAGATTTAATATTAGAAAATATTGGATAATTTCCAACACTGAAAAGCATTTGTTTCTGGTAAGCAACACAGTGCCATCATGGCCCCATTGTTAAAAGAAAGCCATTACACAGTATCATAAATTTGTTCCAAAAACTATACACAGTTATATGGATGGTATACATTGTAATTATATGGATGTTTATTTGTTGTGTAATCATAAATTCTGGGTCATAAAACCTGTCACAAAATCTTCATCATATGTTAGTGAAGGCATCTTACATATGATTCTAAACACACAGACATGACTAAAAAATATTGCCAAGATGATAAGTCTGTTCCCTGGTGTTTCGTTGAATCTCAATTTCTTGTATTAGAACAACAGTGCTCTATAGTTTTCTTTAGTTGATTTATTGTTTTGTTTTCAGGACAACAGTGTTCTATATTGCCAGTTTAATGATATTTGTGACATCATTGTATGATGTCACAGGTGACCTCTCTTCTGATTCAAATCAGGTAGGTTTGTTTTGTAGGTTGCTGACTTCAGTACCTTCACCAAACACTGCTGCAGGTATTGAATACTGCCAGGAAATTTGAATTCTTTAATAAGAGCAAGATATTTAGCGAGCTAATGGAATGTCAGTGGTTCTACTTAGGTGTCAACTCAAGACCAGAGTAAAGCATTGAAGGGCGTATGAGGTAGTCTTCCAATTAGGTCAGGACTTTAATTACAAGTGGCGCTCCAATAGTAAAGCTGGAAAACCACCATATGAATCTTAAATATTTGGTGTGACTTACAACCTAACCAAGATAAAAGTGTTTATGGCCAAATATTAACTGTAGAAGATATGGCATACACACTGCCCCTGGCTTATTGCTGGTTCTCTTATTAAAAATAAATGCAAATTTTTTTGTATTGGTTAGTTTTTCAGTTAGTGTGGTTGATGGCCAATGATATAATGTGTATTATAATAAACATGTACAGGGAAAAAATCCCATGAACCATTGATACTTTATGTCAATTTCACTGTTTTCATATATTGGACAAATTTAACTGTAAATTTTTAATATTAAATAAACACTCAAACTAGGATGGTCACTCTTCAAACTAAGTTGGACATGTTGTCTATAATTTTGACTTTATTGCCATGGTTAACAACTTAAGTAAGCTTACAGATATTATTATTGTTGGTAGTTACCTCCCTTGTTCTGTGATGAAGCAAATGCTATACCATACTTTGCAGGACAGTTGACTTGCTGCACTTTAAAATTAACAAATCCTTGGAAGTTGCCTTAAAATGAAGGAAACCATTCTACATAAAAGTGTTGCATCATAAGTCATGTCTGTGAGTCTTGACAGAAAATTCTGTATACTAAAGAATAAGAAGAGTGGATAGCCAACTTGTTAATGTTGATGACGTAAAACCACTAGCATGTTACTGCTTTGGGTTCAAGTCCCACCGGTGTCTTGGATTCTAGCATGTGAGGAAGCTATCCAGCTAACTTACAGAATGTCAGCAGTTCTTCTCAGGTGGCCATTTGCGCTTCAAATAATTTACAGATGGGGCACCTGAGGTATTTCTAGCATAGCTGGAAAGTTTTATTTTACCTTTACAGTGTTTGTGTGACTTAAATTAAAAATTTTTTCAGGTTGCTGGGACAGGAAACAGTACATCATCTTGTTGGGAGAATGAAGTAGGAGAAGAAGTTTTCAAGGTCGTTTTGGTTGACCTAGGCATACTATTTGCTGTTGGTATCCTATTTCATCTACACAGGGCATTGTGGGTAAACTGCACTTGTAAAATGGTTAGTTTTTTTTCCAGTCTTTGATGATTGGTAAATAATGTTAATGAGTTCAAATGCCTTTATGAAAGTGGGCTTAAAAACACATTTTGAGGTTTTGAAAATTTAAAAAGCTAAACATATCTGCTGCATGTAGCTTACAAAATTATTGTTTGAATTTTGTAATACAATAGTTCCAAAATACCTGTATAGAAGAAATATGTTTGTATGTTTCCTTAAGAGTGAAATTGGCCAATGCTTGAAAACCAGAAAAAAAAACCTTCTCAAAATGGCAGCATAATATTTGTTCTTAAGTAACTGTGACAATTAATAGTACAACTATTTCGGGTAGCAACCATTAGGTTTTGCAAAAATTAAACCCATAATTTTACAATTTATGAATCAAATATACATAAATGTTTCATATTGTTTGGATATCCTTGAAAGAACATAAGAACTTTAAAAACTTGATGGTAAATGGGAGTTTTTAGTTTTTGCGAAAATTGTTTTAAAACAAGTTAAATGATTAAGACAGATGCCCCATTTGTGTTAAAAGTTTTTGGTTAACAGTTCATAGGGGCAGATTAAGCCAGGGCGATGGGGGAACAGGATCTGACTCTCAAGTGTTTGCCATATATCAGTCCATCCAGACAGTCTGTTATGCTTGTTCAATAAATTGAATTAATTATCTATAGAAGGTGTAAGTTATGGTTTATTTCACTTGGTAGGGATATTGCTTATGGCCTGTGATTGACCCCTATTGAACTTAAGGTCAAGGTGACGATTACAGTGACTTTTTGTATAAAAACATCAAAAAAAAAAGTACACTATTAAGATATTAAATGCCTCAGATGTGAAATATTGTAGAGATATTCCCTATGACCAATGGATGACTCCTATTCAATTTTGTTATTTGAGCCCCGCCATGACAAAACCAACATAATGGGTTTGCGACCAGCATGGATCCAGACCAGCCTGCGCATCCGTGCAGTCTGATCAGGATCCATGCTGTTCGATTACAAACCCTTTAACAAGTAGAAAAACTGATAGCGAACAGCATGGATCCTGATCAGACTGCGCGGATGCGCAGGCTGGTCTGGATCCATGCTGGTCGCAAACTCATTATGTTGGATTTGTCATGGCGCGGCTCAATTATATATTTTCTGTTTCAGATAGGATACAGTAAATTTGATGTTGTATCAAGTGTATTAGATGTGGTATATGGACAATGTCTGGTATGGTTAGGTCTGTATTTCTCACCACTTCTGGCTGCTATAAGTGTCTTTAAACTCATCATTGTCTTCTACTTCAGATACCTAATAGCAAAGGTGAGTTTTGTATACATTTTATGAAGATTTGTTTATATTTTGGAGAATTTGTATATATTTTGGAAGGTTTCGGAGCTTGATAAACTTGATTACAGTAACTTGTTAGATCAATAAGTGCTATGCATGTGCACATATATATTTGATACAGATATTTGACATACATTTAGTTTCATATAATGTATACTCGTAAAAGAAATTATTCAGCATACTAATTAAATGGTTGAAGCTTTGTAAATAAATCAAAATTATTACAGCATAATTATAGCCATTGTTTTAGTTAAATTAAGGAAAATGGAATAAAATATAGATATATGATATACATAATGAAATTAGGTATTCAACGTTATAATCAAATGCAGCTTTAATGTAGCTTTATGCATAAATCAAAATTATCACATGGTAATGTTTGTTGAGTTAGTTCAGTGTATGGTAAAAGGACTGTCACAGTTTTAGGAATGCTGTCTATAGAAGTTTGTTTGAATATGTCTTTGCATATTTTGTGTAGTAAAATTTGATATAATGTTGTTTTTGTTGTTCTTGTTTTTGAAACCATGGTCTCAAAAGCACACCATCAAAATGCTCCTTTCAAGATTATTTATCATTTTGTTACAGGTTGCTATGGTACCGCCACAACAGTTGTTCCGAGCTTCCAGTACGGGAAACTTCTACCTAGCTTTACTGCTTCTCAACCTTTTTATCAGTTTGTTTCCTATGACATATGCTGTTATAGAGTAAGAAGTATATATTTTACAATGTTAACCTTAAAGGAGCTTGGCTTAAAAAAAATGAAAATTCATACACAGCTTAACTGTTGTACTTTTAATTGAAAAATACAAAATCTATGTGCAAAAGATATTTAAGCAATATTCTCCAAATTAAATCCAAAATTGACATTTTTTGTGAGATTTTTACCCATAGATTGAGTTAATAGTATTGCAATCGCTCTCATTTTTAGCTCACCTGTCACAAAGTGACAGGGTGAGCTTTTGTGATCGCTTTTCGTCCGGCGTCCGTCCGTCCGTAAACTTTTGCTTTAAATGACATTTCTCCTCATAAACCACTGAGCCCCAATTTCATCCAAACTTCCCAGGAATGTTCCTTTGGTGGTCACCCTTTTAAAAAATTGTTCAAAAGAATTTTTAATTCCATGCAGAACTCCCTGGTTGCCATGGGCAAACCGAAAGAAAAATCTTTAAATATCTTCTTTTTTAAACAACCCTAAAGAGCTAGAGCTTAGATATTTTGGCATTGAAACATCTTCTAATGAGTGTCTACCAAGTTTGTTCAAATAAAAGCCCTGGGGTCAAAATTGGCCCCGGCCCCAGGGGGTCATTGATTTTCCCTATATTGCATATAGTAAAAACTTAAAAAATCTTCTTTTAAAGAACCCAAAGAGCTAGAAGCTAAGATATTTGGCATGAAAACATCTTCTAATGAGTGTCTACCAAGTTTGTTCAAATAAAAGGCCCTGGGGTCAAAAATTGGCCCCGCCCCCAGGGGGTCATTGATTTTCCCTATATGCATATAGTTAAAAACTTAAAAAAATCTTCTTTTAAAGAACCCAAAGAGCTAGAGCTAAAGATATTTGGCATGAAACATCTTCTAGTAAGTGTCTACCAAGTTTGTTTCAAATAAAAAGCCCTTGGGGTCAAAATTGGCCCCGCCCCGGGGGGTTCATTTGATTTTTTCCCTATATGCATATAGTAAAAACTAAAAAATTCTTCTTTTAAAGAACTGTAAGAGCTAAAGCTTAGATATTTGGCCCATGAAACCATCTTCTAGTGGAATGTCTACCAAGTTTGTTCAAATAAAAGCCCTGGGGTCAAAAAAATTGGGGCCCCCGCCCCGGGGGGTCATTATTTTTTCCCTATATGCATATAGTAAAAAACTTTAAAAAAATCTTCTTTTAAAGAAACCCAAAGAAGCTGAGAGCTAAGATATTAAGCATTAAAAAACATCTTCTTATTTAGTGTCTACCAAGTTTGTTCAAATAAAAGCCCTGGGGTCAAAATTGGGCCCTGCCTCAGGGGGTCATAGGATTTTCCCTATATGCATATTAGTAAAAACTTAAAAAATCTTCTCTTTTTTAAAAGAACCGTAAGAGCTAGAAGCTTAGATATTTGGCATTTGAAACATCTTTCTAGTGAATGTCTCTACCAAGTTTGGTTCAAATAAAAAAGCCCTGGGGTCAAAATTGGCCCCGCCCCAAGGGGATCATTGATTTTCCCTATATGCATATAGTAAAAACTTAAAAAATCTTCTTTTAGAAGAACCCAAAAAAGCTAGAGCTAATATTATTTAGCATGAAACATCTTCTAATGAGTGCTCTACCAAGTTTGTTTAAAAAATAAAAGCCCTGGGGTCAAAAATTGCGCCCCGCCCCAGGGCGTCATTGATTTTCCCCTATATGCATAATAGTAAAAACTTAAAAAATCTTCTTTTTTTAAAGAACTCAAAGAGCTAGAGCTAAGATATTTAGCATGAAACATCTTCTAATGGGTGTCTACCAAGTATGTTCAAATAAAAGCCCTTGGGGTCAAAACTGGCCTCGCCCCGGGGGGGTCATTGATTTTCCTTATATGCATATAGTTAAAAACTTTAAAAAAATCTTCTTTTTAAAAAAAAAAACCCAATGAGCTAGAACTTAGATGTTTAGCATGAAAACATCTTCTTCTTATGGGGTGTCTACCAAGTTCTGTTCAAATAAAAGCCCTTGGGTAAAAAAATTGGCCTGGGGGGGGGGGGCTATTATACAGGTGAGCGACCTTCAGGGCCATCATGGCCCTCTTGTTTATGTCAAATTGGCACCCAATTTAAATTGATTATTTCTGGGGGGGCAAAAAATTCTTTTGGGGGGCCCAAAAAAA